GGAGTGAGCGTCAATTTGCATATCACCTCTTTATTATATAGGATATGAATCTTTGCTAGCTCTCCTAATGGCCTCTACAGTGATAAGAGGTGGTGATGGTCTTAAATAGTTAGCATTTCTTCCAGATAATGGGGATGTGCCCCCGTGGTTGGTTTCCTGTTTGAGGACACAGAGTTAGCTGAACCCACATTTCTCATAAAACAGACAAGTGCTTATGTATAATCCACAACATTTAAAAAAATCAGTTATTTGCACAGGCTTGTCACGAATCAACACACATTTGCAGTCAAGTCTGGGGAGCCGCTTCCTGGCGGCCTGGGCTATCGGCCCGACTGCTGTCCTCTGGCCCTGCGGGTGCTCAGGTGGCTCACTTTACTTGCTAGTGTCTCACTCACCCCACTTCATCTCATCACGGAGGCATCGTCTCCCCACATCATCTCAAGAAGAAGGGAGTCCAGTACAAGATATTTTGAGAGCCCACATTCCTACAGTGTGTCACAGTATACTGTTATACTTGTCCTATGTGATTATTAGTTACTGTTGTTAGTCTCTGACTGTGCCTAACTTGTAAATGAAACGTTATCATACGTTTGTATGTATAGCAAAAAACACACAAACTCTCTATATAGGGCTTGGTACTATCTGCGCTTTCAGGCATCCACGGGGGTGTTGGAACGTATGCCCGGCGGATAAAGGGGGGGCTGCTGTAATTTATTCTTATCCTGATCTGTATCTTAGAGAGGACTGCGTGCCCCTGAGCCCCAAATGAGGAGCCAGGAGACTCAGGGTTCTCTCCTACCCCTGCCCCTGACTAGCTGTGTGCTGTTAAGTCAGTCCATCTCTTGGTGTCTGTTTCCCAAACACGTAGGGAGCACCAGGCACTAGCGACTTGGTGTCCGTTTGAGTTCACTTCATTCTCTCCCGAACAACGCCAGTGGTGCGTGCGTCTCTGGAACTTGGCTTGAGGTTCCAGGATATCTTTGTCCTACAGGCAGGATGAATTGTTGTGGCTTTTGCCATTTCAAAGCATCTCGGGTTTTCCTCTGGGCTCCAGAGGAACCAGTACCTGAGACCCCCAATGTGAACCTCAAGCCAGGCAGGCCCCTGGGCTCCATGGCTGCTGCGGACCTTGTCTGTGAACTTGGCTTCCCTGCAGACCCCGCTGGAGAGAAAGGGAAGTCTGTGGGGTGGGGTCCCTAGGGAGAGGGGCCCCGACGGCTGGGATGGGGAGGGGCGGAACCGCCAAGCCAGGCTGGCTCTTGGAAGATCTTTCCGGCGGCCTGGCACTGTAGGCCATTATCCATACCGCCCCTTGCTAGTCAGGGTGGCTGTCAGACTCTCAGCTTCTCTCCTCCCGTCCTGGGTCCGGCTGTGAATTCCAGGGGCTTAGTCCTCATCCTGAGGGACCCCACCCTGTGGGTCAAGGGCAGCCCAGCAGGGGGCCCAGGCATTCTTCCACCTACTGAGTCAGGGGCCCCAGCCCACGTGCCATAGGGCTGCCTTCTGCCCACCGCTCCCCTCCCCAGGCTGGGGACCAGGCGCGAGGGGGAAGGGGTGGGCGGGGAAGCCTGCGCTGAGCCTGGGTTGGACCCCGGGTCTGGCTGGGCGGTCCCATCTAGTGGCCCAGGCCCCGCCTTCTCCAGAGCTTGTCTGCCAAGCGCACAGCCCCGCCCCGCTGCGTGGGTGGGCGAGCGAGGGGCCGCGCGTGGGTGCCCACGAGCGTGTGTGTGGCCTTGGTGCCTGTGACATTGTGTCGGTTGACATAATTGTGTGTGTGGGTTGTGTCTAGTGGAAGCATCTCTGTGTGCCTTTGGCATCTGTGTGTGTCTGGCCTCTGAGTGAGTGTGAATGAGCGTGTATTTCAGTGTGTGTGTCTGGCTTCTGGGGAGGAGATACGGAGGGGAGTGGTCTCCTCCCGTCCTGAGGGCCCCCCCCCCATTTTTCTCCTCCTCGGGATGCCTGGGGTGCTGGGACGCTGGCCCGGACAAGTTTACTGTGTGTATGGGGGCGGGGGGCCGGGGACGCAAGGTCGAAAGAGGGTAGCCGGGACCCCCCATGACCCCCGCCACCCTGGTCCCCCTGCTCCCAAGCTTCCTGGCCTGAAGTTTCTTCCTTGCCCCGCCCCCGCCTGCTCTGGGCCGACCCTGGGGCCGCGGAGGCCTGGGGGAGGGGCGGGGATGGCCGGGCCCTGCTGGGGCCTTCGCACCCCTTTCCTTCAGCTAGCGGCTGCTCCGCCCGATTGGGATCCGCTGTGGCGACTCTGACCCCTAACACCCCCCCCCTCCCCCGCGCTCCACGTGGCTGTGACGCGAAAGCACCCTTCTAAGGGGGCGGGGGACGCCGCGGGGCGAGGCGCGCGTGGGTCCAGGCTGGGCCGCTGAGAGGCGGCGGCACTGCGCGCGGGCGTGTCTGCCTGTGACCTGGGCGTGAGGCCAAGCTCCGGTCCTCGGAGGCTCGGTTTTCTCAATCACAACCCCAGGGAGACCGGTGCCCAACCGCCGGGTGATGCCCGGGAAGAGGGCCGCGCCGGTGTAGGTGCCGGGGGCGATAGCAGCGGCGCACGCACGACCCATTCATTGTAAATGAAAGATGCGTTCAGTGAAAGTCCTGGAACCCCACTTATTTCCTAAATCCGCCTCGTAAGGGGAGCCCTGGCTGGAAGGGAGGCCCGGAGGCCGGGGAGCAGCCCGCGCGCTGGATTGGCGCCCAGAGCCCTGGAGGGCCAGTGACTCGGGTGACCCCGGCTCTGGACCTGGGACAGGCCCCGCCCTTTCTGGCGATTCCCTGGGAACCCGCGAGCGAAGAGCGGTTTGGCGCACGACCAGCCCTCGCTCGTTTCGCAAATGGCACTTGGCACGCTCTTCCTTGTTGCAGGCGGAGACCGGAGGAGCGCAGCGTGCGCCTGCCTCCCGGGTCGGCGGCGGCGCGGAGGCTCCAGGATCCGGCCCCGCGGGTCGTGCGAGTGCCGCCGGGGTCGGGAAGGGTTTGTCGCCCACGACCGCCGCCCGGCTCCCGCCTGCGCCCCAGCGCTCCGCCTGCCTGGCGCTGCGAGAATTTGGCGACGGTGCCCGCGCGGCGGCTGCAGGCTCTGGCCCCGCCCCCGCCCCTGGCCCCGCCCCCGGCCCCGCCCGCGCCCGCGCCCTCCCGTTGTCCCGGCCCCGCCCCGGGCCGCGCCCCTCCGCCGTTGCCC